GCCCAGGCTGGTCTGGAACCTGTGGGCTCAGGCAATCCTCTCACCTTGGCCTCCCAAAGTACTGGGATTACAGGCTGAGCCATTGTGTCTGAGATCCCTTCCATTTTAAATGTTCCCTGGACGGGAGTGATGAAAGGCCATTCTGAAGACCCCCTGGGACTTGGGACCCCCAACCCAGGTTCTGGCCAGGGGAACTGGCCCCCACATCCCTCCCTCCAGGTCTCCTGGTTGCTTGGGGGAACCTCCCTGACAATGGGGCTCACTAAGGCCTTCTGTTTCTCAAGACCTCCCCTCCCCGGTTGCTAAGGGGAAAGGCTCCCTAGCAATGAGCTATTCTGAGCCTTTGGGCCACCTGAAGCCAACTTATCAGATATTGGGAAGCCAAGAAAGGGATTCCCCAAGAAGAGGGTCTCATAGGTCTCGTCCCTCAGGATTCCCTGACTGATAAGATGTCCAGGTTGGGCCCAGTGGTCACGTCTGCCATTCCAGCACTTTGGGAGGCCGAGGTGAGAGGATTGCCTGAGCCCAGGGATTTGAGACCAGCCTGGGCAACTTGGCGAGACCGCATCTCTACAATAAATAAAAAAATTAGGCTGGGTTTGGTGGCTCGCCCTGTAATCCCAGCACTTTGGGAGGCTGAGGTGAGAGGATTGCCTGAGCCTGCAGGTTCGAGACCAGTCCGGGCAACTTGCTACAATAAAATAAAAAATAGCCGGGCATGGTAGCATACGCCTATAGTTCCAGCTACTTGGAAGGCTGAGGCGGAAGGATTGCCAGAGCCCCAGCAGACTGAGGCTGCGGTGGCTGGGAGCGGCCACTGCAGTCCAGTCTGGGCGACAGAGTGAGACTCCATCCAACTCAAAAAAAAAAAAAAAAAAGAAAAAGAAAAAAAGATGTCCCAGACCCCCCAACCCTTCCAGACTTCTCTGTCTCACCGAAGTTGCTAAGGGGGGTCTTCTAACCCTGATCCCCCCCCATCAGGTCCCTGAAGACCCAGCTCCCAGAACCAGCCACAACCAGGCCACTGTGACCCCTCTCTTCTTCCCTGTTGCCAAGGGGACTCCCTAGCAACAGAACTCAGAACCTTGGGGCGGGGCTGGTTACTGCAGTGATGTCCTTCCAGGCCTCTGTCCACAGAGGTCTCGGGGTCTGGGGAGGCAGCATGGTGGGTGCTGGGATCCCGGCTTTGGGCCTGCTCCTGCTCCTGCAGGGCTCAGTCGGTGAGGGGGCTGATGAACTCTGGGACGAGGGGGGCCACCACTGTCTCCGTCCAGTGCTGACACCAGCCCTTTTCTCTCACAGATGGACACGGAATCCAGGGATTCTTCTATCCATGGAGTGAGCAGTGGGGAAACCCCGGGTCCATCAGAAGAGGGAGACCAGATTAGGCCCCTGGGTTCGAGGGAGGAAGGCTGGGGGCCTGGATTCCTGGTCTGAGGGAGGAGGGCTGGGGCCCTGGACTCCTGGATCTGGGGGAGGAGGGGTTGGGACCTGGACCCCTGGGTCTGAGGGAGGAGGGCTTGGTTCTGGCCTCCCGGGTCTGAGGGAGGAGGGACTGGGGCCTGGACTCCCGGGTCTGAGGGAGGAGGGCTGGGGCCTGGACTCCCGGGTCTGAGGGAGGAGGGCTGGGGGCCTGGCCTCCTGGGTCCTGCACAGAATGAGTGCTCAGCACGCAGCCAGTACCCCTGGCCTTGAGAGCCCGTGTTGAGGCCTTCTGGGCCTGGCTCAGTGAAGAGGTCAACCGCTGGGTGGGTCCCCAGCCTGTGACGGTGATGTGTGGAACCGGGAGAGCTGTGGGGGCCAGGCAGCTCTGGAGAACCCCAGCCTCTGCCTGCGCCTGCGATGCTGTTATCGCGACAGCGTCTGCTACCACCAGCGACCGGATGGTATGTGCTGAGGCCTGAGGCCCTCATGTGGGCAGGGGAGGGGCAGGGGTCGGTTGCCCTGGCCTCATGACCCCTCCTCTGTGCAGAGAACATGCGGCGGAAGCACATGCAGGTGCTGGGCTGGATGTGCGGTGGCCTCCTGGTCCTGATCTGCAGCACCTGCCTGTTCTGGTGAGTGGGGCTGGGCGCTGCCCCCCCCGTGGCACCCGGGAATGGGGAGGGGGTAGGACGGCTGGGCTGAGTGTGTCCCCTCCCCGCCAGGTGGGCCAAGCACCGGGGCATGGTGCACATGCCAGGGTTCTTGAAGGGCAAATGCGACTTGTCGAAGACGGTCTCGCTGCTCTCCAAGGACCGAGGGACCATGAGCGAGAAAAAGGCCATGTCCTTGGCCAGCATACACACCGAGCGGCTGGACATCTCAGGGGGCACCGAGGGCGAAGGGACCACAGAAGGGGCCGAGGACACAGAGGGCGGGGAAGACGATGATTAGGGTGTCCCTGGGGGACCCCCTCAATACAGAGATGGCTTTTGGATGCTCATGTCTTTTCTTTTTTTTTGTCAGAGTCTCACTCTGTCGCCCAGGCTGGAGTGCAGGGCCACACTCATGGCCACCACAGCCTCAACCTGCTGGGCTTAGGCCATCCTTTCACCTCAGCCTCCCAAGTAGCTGGAACCCCAAGTGTGCACCACCACGTCCAGCTAATTTTTCAGTTTATTGGAGAGACAAGGTCTCGCCAAATTGCCCAGGCTAGTCTCGAACCCCCAGGCTCAGGCAATCCTCTTGCCTCTGCCTCCCAAAGTGCTGGGATGACAGGCGTGAGCCACCGTGCCTGACCTCGTGTCTTTCCTGAGAGTTATGGGCAGGTGGGGGCAGGGGCAGGCGTGAGTGCTGGGGGGGGCAGGTGATGGGAGCCGAGAGGGACCCGGGCTAACTTTGGGGGTCCTGGGCTGGGCCATGGGGGTGTGAGCTGAGGGGTGTCTGAGGGATAAGTGAGGGGTGTGATCTGCAGGGCAGCTGGGCTGGGAGAGAATCTGAGCTATGATCACAGTAGCCCTGGACTGCGGGGCTGGAGGTGTGGGGTGCTGGAGAGGGGGGTCTGAAGTAAGGGGGTAGGGGTGTGTGGGGTGTGGGGCTGGGAGAGCGGTCCATGCCACAGCCATGGCAACGTGGTCTCAGCCCTCCTCAGGGGGCATCACTGACTGATAGCGCCCTGATCCCCCATGTGCCTGGACTCCCACCCACTGCTCTGACCTATGACAGATGGCAGGGCTCCGGGTAGGCACTCCTCCTGCAAAACGTGGGTGTCCCCACGGGTGACGTCAGCCCCCAGACTCCTTGAGGACATGTTCCTGTAAGAAGAAGACTTGTCCAGCCCTCCCTCCCACTTCTTCAGGGGGGCGGCTGTCCCCCCACCAAGCTACTCTGTTAGTGGCCCTCAATAAACATCTTGCAAGTCCAGCCTGTCCCTGTGTGTGCTTCTGGGGGGGACCCAAACTCACTCGGCAAAGTCCAGGTTGAGGGAGGTGGGGGGTTGGGGAGGGCCTGGGATGGGGGTCCTTGCCCCCCACATATCCCCCCTTTCCCCACTGGGAAGGGCCAGCATGAAGCCAGGCTCCAAGATCCACCCCCCCAGGGCCTCGGCGGTCCCACCTGGGCTCAGGTCCTGGAAGGAAGCGGGCGACCTCAGCCCCTCTGAGTCCCCGCCCCGTACACCCCAGACAGACATGCAAGCTGGGAAGCAGAGACGTTTATCCAGGTGAGGGTAGGGGACAGCGGCGTCATGCCAGCAGCTGACTCGGGCAGCCTCATGTCTCAGTCCAGTCCCGACAGATGGGCCGTGAGGTCGCCTGTAGGAGGGAGGGTGGCATGAGAGACTGCTTTGGGCCGCCTCCTGTCCCTGCGTCAGACGCAGGCCCACCGCCTGGTCCTTGAGAGCAGGGAGGGCACCCTTCCTCCCTGGCTTCGCCCCTCTCACACCGTAACCCACACACTTGCCTCTCTGGTCCTTCATGCTTGCATCTCCCCCTCATCTTCTGAGGAGGCCCCAGCATGTGTGTGCATGTGTGCGTGCCTTTGACTCACTGGATCCACAGGTACGAGATGGGAAATGTGAGAAAGGGAGAGGCAGAGAGAGTGAGAGACACAAAGAGAGATGTAGAGACAGAGGCACAGGGACGGAGAGGAGACCTGGGGAGACAGACTGAGACAGAGACAAAGAGAAATAAAGACTGGCAGAGACGGAAAATGGAGCCCAAGGGCAGGGGAGAATTAACAAAAGATGGGGGCTCTGTCCACTACTCAGCTCATTTTGGCTGGGGAGAGGTTTGGGGGGGAAGCTGCCAGAGCCGGAATCTGTGAGCACCTCGCTAAAGTTTCAGTTCTGTCCTTCACATGCTGGAAGCACCTCGCCCTCCCCCGCAAGGAGGACTCCTGGGTTGGAACGGGCCTGTTTTCCTTGGAAGACGGGGCTACGCTCAAGTGAGCTGGCCCAAGCCTCTGGTGGGCAGGCCCAGGAGGGAGGCCCACCCAGCTGTGTGAGACCTGTGGACGATGTGGGGGATTTTAGGGCCATGGTAACTATTAAGTGGTCATTTTTTTTTTTTGAGTTGGAATCTCACTCTGTTGCCCAGACTGGAGTGCAGTGGCACGCTCCTGGCCACTGCGCACTTGACCTGTTAAGCTCCGGCAATCCTTTCACCTCAGCCTTCCAAGTAGCCGGAACTACAGGTGCGCACTACCACGCCCGGCTAATTTTTTATTTATTGTAGAGATGGGGTCTCACCAAGTTGCCCAGGCGGATCATGAACCTGTGGGCTCAGGCAATCCACTCACCTCGGCCTCCCAAAGCACTGGGATTACAGGCTGAACCACTGAGCCCAGCCACAAGTGGGGTCAGCTATGCCGAACGTGGTGTGAGCTCAGGCTCTGCCTGCGTATAGGGCTGCTCATCCTGGCTTAAACTAGTTTCCTTTTCTGAACAACAGAACGTAAGATATGACCAGAGTGACCATTTTCACAATTCGCACAAAGAATAGTGTGTAACTAGTAGCACTCTGGATGAATAGGAGAAAGTGAACTCATCACATGCAGAGAATGTCCAGGAGCGTGTCATTCTTTCACGAAATCCCTGTTTGGGAAACTGATTCAGTCGCCATTCCCATCTACCAATCCAACCACATCCATTCAACAACTGCTCCATTCACCAACCCACCACCTACCCACACCCACCCATCAACCAACCCAGGCATCTACCTATCCAACCATCCATTCACCCATCCCTCCACCCATCCATCAACTAACTCATCCACCCATCCATTCAATCCACTCATCCATTTACCAATACATCCACCCATCTATCAACTCATCTATCCACCCACCCATCCTTCCATCCATCCACACATCCATCTGTCCATCCATCCACCTATCCTATCCATTCACTAGTCCACCCACCCATCCATCAACTGACCATCCATCCATCCATCCATCATCCATCCAGACATCTATCCATCCATTCACACATCCATCGATCAATCTACCCATCCATCTATCCATCCATCCATTCATTAGTCCATTTACCCATCATCCCTCCATCCATCCATCCATCCCTCCATCCATCCATCCATCCACCCATCCATCAACTGATCCATCCACCCATCCATCCGTCCGCCAGCCTTCCATCCACCCATCCATTCACCAGTCCATCCACCTATCCATCAGTCAGTCCATCCATCCATTTATCTGTCCTCCAAGTCATCTATCCATCCACCTATTCCTCCATCCTGCTACCTGCCGACCCAACCATCAGTCTTTCCCGAGTTCACACTTTTTGCTGGGCAATGTTAGGAACAAAGACACCAGAGACCCAGGTCTTACGCACAAGACACTCCCTTTCAGAGGGGAGAGACAGTGCCAACACAGACACACACAGTAGATGGTCACACCAGCGGCAATAGGGGTCACACAGACAATATGAAGACCCAGAGAAAGGCAGAGAAAGTGGATTAGATCTTAACACATTGAGTGCTCCTGGCTGGAGTGGAGACGGCAAGGGCACTCCAACGTAGAGAAGAGCAGGAACAGGGACCTGCCGGCTCTCTGTGGACTGAGAGATGTCACAACTGCAGAGGAGGCAGGAGAAATGGAATCGAAATGTGTGTGGGTGGGGGGGTCCACGTGCCAGTGAGTGCTTTGAGCCTAACCAAAGGGCACGAGGGAGACACAGCAGGCCCTTGAGCAGGGGGCGGCGGTAAGTCGGAGAGATGTGTTTGGAAAGGGGACATAAGGTGGAGGAGAGAAAGGGGAGTGAACGGGCGGTGGCCTCACTCCTGCCTCGGCTGGGCCTTCTCTCTCCTGTCAGGACTACATGTCAGGAGACTCCCGGCTCCTCCGCCTGCGCGGCGTGGGGCCTCGGGCAAAGGTGGCACCCTTCTGGGCCTCAGCTTCCTCCCCCATGGAGCGGGAACCGTAGCAGCAGTGACCTTAGAGACCCAGCTGCAACGCGAGGGCCCCACACGGCCCGGCGCGCGGGGGGCTGGAGCGGGGGCGGGTCTCCA